ACTGCAATATAGGTCCCAGTTTATCTGAACTAATCTGAAGTTCAAGGACTTTCAAATAGATGGCTCACCTTTGGCCTATGTATTCTCTCATGAAAGCCACCTCAGCAAAACTCAAGAGTCCAATTCAGCTTTGCTGTAGCTGGTCACGACTCTCTTGACTTCAGCAATGCTTCATATGCTTACACCAGGTCTGAATTTATCCCTACAGCTTCCCGGTCACTAGTCCTCCCTTTCAACTCAGAAACTGCCTACATAATAAAAGTGATTCATTAGAAACCACTGGGTTCCAAAGTAGAGTGAACACTGTGACCTATAACTTTTTGATATGTGCTCAGTAATAAAACTGAATTTATATGGTCTTATTCCATAAACTCACTTTACAAATATTAGACCCACAACCATACTTCTGTGAGCTGTAATCTTGTCAAAGCTCATAAGTTAAGCAAGGTCAAAACTGGTCAACATTTGGATGAGAACCTCCAAAAAAAACCCCAAAAAACAAAAACAAACAAAAAAAGCCCATTGTGGTCCCACATTCGTGGGTTAGGGAGTGCCATGCTGACCTTTGAAAGGATTTGGTATTAGAGTACAAGGTGTTGTATTTGTTTTAGCAGTTTAGACTCTGGCCACATCTGTGCTGCGTCTTGGATGTTTCGAGGGATGTCCTTTCCGAGAGCCAAAGCTGCCACAGCAGATTAGTCCTCTGCCCCCCCCACACCCCCTCACTGCCCTTCCATCCAGCAAAGAGAAGATCTAATGGTGAGTGCCTGGTGCCACCCATCGCCCCCTCCCTGAAGAGGTTTTTTGCTACTTCTGCTATTACTGCATTCTCTTTGCTTTATATATCAAAAAATACCCAAGAAAACCCATTCTCCCCTTCCTCCACCGCCATAAATACCTGTGTCTGCATATCTCACTCTCTCCCCTTTGGAGCTCTTCTCTCAGGCGTCCCTGCCCCTCTCCCAGGTGTCATCACTGTAGTGCTGAAGGCCCCTTTAACCTCGTTTTGTTGTGGAGGAGCTAATTTGTGAGAGGAGATGCACCTTGTGACAATATCTCATACGCAGAGCAGTACATAGTGACAAAAGGTACTTAAAATTGTTGACGATGGTAGGAAAAGTCTGTGCTATACAGTAAGTTTCTGAGAAACAGCTTAGTCGCTTTTTGAGGTCTGTAATACATAGACGCAGAAAGGAATTGCAAACTTAGCTGGCTTTTCCTAATGAGGAGCGCACAGCCAACAACTCCACTTCTCTCACAGCCTGCTTTAACAACCTGTGATTCAGAACAACTTTTACACTAAATAGGATAAAATTGGAAAGGTTACCAATCTTGCACCTATTGCTGTGTGACAAGGCAATTACATCGCAGCCCAAGGAGTACATACGGGCATCCAGGTCCCAGGGGCCAAGTCCCTGAAGTGGGGAACGGAAACTGCCCCCAAGCGCTGGCTGCCCTAAAGCAGCCACGCGGACGCGGCAGCTAGATAGCGAGCGCTCCTGCGACGCAAAGGAGAGACACGACAAAATAAGGCATTTCTAGAGCTGTGAGATTATTTGGTGGCGTCTCATGTCAGACAGCTCTTGAAGACCAATCCTTTTCCCACTGAAGCAAATAATAAATCGGGCCTTAAGAACCCATATACCAAACTGGACAAATCACTAGGCAAAGCAGTTCCTGTGAGGCATGCATCAAAAAATAGTAGCGTGAAGGAGCGGTCTCATCAAAGCATTTTCATGCAATAAAACAGAAATAAAAAGTGCAGCCAAGAGTTAGAGAACCCTAACTAGACTACAGACAAATAAACTTAAATAGCTTTAAGAATAAATTGTTGGTTTAATTCGGATCAGAAAAGGCTGCTATGCATGTAATTCAGTAAATGGTCAAGAACCTGCCAGAAGGGAGAGAAATGTGTTGCCTTTGAGATAATTTCCCAGAAGCTTCATAAAAGAAATTGATTACGGGAGTTTAATAATTAAAAGAGTCAGAAATATAGTAATCAAATGAGTTTTTAATTACATCTCAAGTAGACATAAAATCCAATTGGTGTACTTTCTATTGGAAAAGTCCTAGTGAAATGCTTTGGTAGCTGGAAAAAATAAAATAAAAGCTAATTTCCATAGGAATTATAGTAGTAGGTTTAATTAAAAGACTAGATCAGAACGAAGGAGTCCCAAAGCGAAAAGGCACTAAATACGTAAGCAGTGGTTTAAACATCAAATCAATGTCTGAATAAAGACACTTAATAGACCAAATGCAAAATCCGCACTGTCGAGTATCCCTAATCTAAATTAACGCGTAAAAAGATAAAAGTTTCTTAAAATTACGCTATATATTTTGTAAGTATTCAACAGAATTAATTGCTTGTGCTGTAGTAAAACTGAAAATCAAAGATATGGTTTATTCTTTCTTAAGCACTCCTTTTTATTTATTTTATCAATGTTTAATGGTATTAGTTAACCACGGGGAGTACATTAAGTAACTTTATTCTTGTTATTTAACTGGTGACCTCTGTTACATGTGGGTTGTTAGACTCTTTGAAACACATTTAGGTATACTTTTACAGGAAATCTACATTTACTTTTGGATTTAAAAATGCGTCCACAGATCATAAGATAATGATGATTAACTTGAAACAGAAGTAAAACTGTGCGGATGCTTGTTGGATCCATGCCCAATCTACTTGGACCTCAGGGCTCTGCTGTAGCCAGTGCAAAGCAAACAGATCTGAGCAGTTCAAGTACCCACAGTCCTCCCAGCACCCCTTGGTCTCTGCGGGGGGTGCAGAAACGGAGGCAAGAGGGTTTTCTGCTACCGTAAGAGCACGTGTCGGTCTGCAGAGACAGGCACAGCACTGGGCCGTGCCACCCTGGTGCTACAACTGAAAACAGCGTGGTCTCGTGGCAAGTTTTGACAACAAAACGGTACAGAAAGGACACAGACATAGCCTAGAGTTGAACAACCCCACTGAGACTGAGCCGGGGACCCAACGAGCTCCTTCTCCTTTACGCTGCCTGTAAGCAGGTACTGGTTGCTGGTATACCATTTGTGACAGGGACAAAATGTCATGAATTTCGTGCTTACAGATCCTGCGGCTGATGAGGTCAGAGTGCAGAATGCCCTCTTAGGGCTTGGGGATGTTTGAAATGTCCTGATTTTTAAACATAGGGAAAATGTTTTTGAAGTGGAAAAATGTTTTTAGATATTGGAAAAATATTTGATGAAAACATTTTGAAGATTTAAGAAAAACCAGCACGCTCTAACTGTCAGTGGATGGATGCTGGCATCACTCTGACAGGGCCCTCCGCTTTGCACAGAGAGGATTTGATGAGCTGCTGTAAAGATCTGAATATCTTATTTCCTAAATCTAGCCTGCGTTGGTAGCAGTAATGCAGGTGCTAATGAGCATCAGCAGTGAGCTTTACACACAGGTATTTATAATGGGTTACTGCTCCTCCTCTTTTTGGATGGGCCCAAACGAGATTTGGGAAATACATGATGATCTGAAACTAAAAATAGGGAGCTCTGAGGTATGGTGACAGGAACGTTGTATTTCCAAGTCCATTAACAGAGAGGAAGGAAATGTCACCAGCGAGCAATACCACATGTGGCAGAGACCGCAGTGAGCTCTGCCTCTCACCCCAGGCCCAGGGGGGCATAATTATCTGCCCAGTCCATGCCATCTTCCAAGGAAATAATTTGAAGTGGATTTGCTTCAAGTTCCACACAAATAGGATAGTTATGGCATGATTTTTAGAAGTGCTGAGCATTCATATTTCCTACTGAAGTCAACTGAAACTGCAAGTTTTCAGCACATCTTAAAATCAGGCCATTAACCCTTAATTACCATATAATAGCTCAATTAAAAATCTACCAAGACTTACTTCAGTAGCTAACCAAGCTCCCACAGCTTGCAGGCTAGCTATAAAAAAATCTAGTTCTTTAGTGGTGTCTGGGCTTCTGAGGCCATTTAAAGTGGATGCTGTTAACCCTGCTATTTAAAGCAAAAAATTAAAAAGATCAACTGCAAAGATACCTTCTTCCCTTCTCATTTCCTTCCAGTTTTCTGCACTTTCAGAGCAACTTTTGTTGTCTTCTCTATCATTCTTTTAATTTTTTTTTCCCCTGCACCAACCTTTTTCTTTTTAAATGGCAATTACATATGTCCCATACTGTCAGAGAAAGCAAGAAACGCAACTTTCAGCAGAACCCACTTCTTGCTAATGAAAAACGCTGCACACGAATAATACAACAGTAACTCCCTTTGTGCTGAAACTGAGCACATTAGGTGACTGCTTTGGAGGTAACTGGCTAACCCTTTCTTTGCATCTGGGTGTTGCTGTTAGGAGGCGCTGTCTCTTTTTAATGTGGAGATAAAATTAATATCAAATCTTTATTGAGAGTAGAAAGAAGGTAAAATAAACTTCTAGCAAAGGTATGCAGTGTTTATATCATTTCAGGGCTGATTCGGAGCCTAGTGAAACCAGATGATTCTCATTTGCTTTTCTGGACTCTGGCTTGGGTATATAGAAAAGAGGTCGTTACAGTGAAATTTTAAAAGGCGTTTTTTTCTTTATTTTGAGCACAGAGAAATGGATGCTCTGACAGCTTAGGAAAGCACACTACTGTTGTGGTTTCCTTATCTATAGCAGGAAATAAGAATCTAGCACACGGGAGAATCTGAAGATTATTTCAGTTTTGTCCATCCTGCCATCCACCTCGTGAACCTCCTGCTCATAGACACCAGCAACCAGATAGCCTCAGGCATGTTTGGGGGGTGCCTCAGAAGGAGGACTGTCTTCAAGGATTAAGAGAAAGCTAAACTGTCTGAAGACCTTTTTGCCATTTTTGGTACCTTAAAGCCTCAACCCTCAGGTCAGAGGCAGTGTCCTCTACAGACTAGACTCCCTTCACCCTGTTACCCTCTAGACTGTGAAATCAGAAAAGTGGAAATGTTGTCAATATTTTCTCTTCCTCTTTTTTTTTTAATCTTCTTCCAGTGCCTAGTGAAGCTGAATGTGAAACTGAAGCCCATGCTGGACTCTGTGGCAGTGAACAGAGGTAAATGGAAGGAGCTGCACCAGAAAAGACTTGCCTCCCAGGCAGCATCCTCATCCTCGTCTTCTTCTAGCTTTACTGTGTCTCTTGAAGACATAAATTAAGCCTGCAAATGTCAGCGTTGGTTTATGGCAAGAGCTGTCTGAAAGGCTTGCGTATGCTTAGGCATGCCATTTTTTTTTAAAAAAAATGCTTTCACAGACATGCTTAATTAATTGGATATTATCTTGATAGCAGTAGTTTGCTTTTACTTGGAAGCTTAGTGGGTCTGAAAGAAAGGCCTGCAGTGAGGCTGTGCCGGTATCTGGAGCAACACGGAAGACTTAGCACAAGAAGCATTCATTCAGCTCCACTACATTTCAGCTGCTGCTGTAAAAATCACACAAAGCTGACAACAGCCTGAAATATAAGAACTTATGGCTTAATAAAATTAATAATACAGAGCAGAACTGGGATGCAAGTTGGTCAATTCATATGCAAGAGCTGCAGGAAAAGAGAGTAGTATGTGATTACGTTGTTGTTTTGCATCTCTTTAGTACATGTTATGAATCAATTATGCCTGCTTTTGTGATGTTCCCTCTCACTCTTCCTCCCTCTTTTATGCTTGAATGTTCTGAAAAGCCTGCTTTGTATTCTAAAGAAGTATTTTTTTACAACAAAGCTTCTTAGTGATTGATCAGGGCCTTTAGAATTGCCTACCTTTGCTACATTTAAAAACAAACTTTATTATCTTTAAAAATACCAACCTGTCCCTGCTTTCCTGAGAAATTCATATTAACCATGCAGTAAATCTCCCTGCAAGGGGAAGTTTGTATAAAGGCAAAATATTGCATGGTAATTTGGGGGCGAAGGGGGGACTTCTTTTAAATATTCTCCTTTAATGCATTCATTTTTTTAAAGTTACAGTGTCCCCTGAGGAAAAGATTAATGAAAATAAAATAAAAATAAAAAATGAAATCTGTTGCCTTGTGCTTCAGGTTTACATTACATTGAAAAGTTTACCGTGGATATGCCTTTCCATGTGGAATCTCCAGTTGAAATGAATATTTTGAAATGGTAGAGGGAAAGAATACCATCATTCTGGACTGACTACCTCTTATTTCTCTTGCTGTTCTTTCAGTACAATTTCAGACAATGTTATTAGAGCTAGCAGAGTACTAGTCAAGGCTTACATGTAGATGCCAGTGGTAGAGGTGTCATAGATGTTGTATCACACACGATAGGTCACAAAACCAAATGCGTGTAGTTCTGTGTGATGACACCAGTATTAAGTGAAAGTTGGTCTCTTTCCATTAGCACAGAGATTACTAGCGCAGCAAAACCGTGACCTATGATTTGAGTGTGCTTTCGCTGCTGCATGACTGGATACAAGAGGATTCGTGTTGCAACATTTAGGAGTTCCCATTCGTAGCCCGGAAAAAAGCTTTTGTACTCTATGAAAAATGTGATTTTAAAGATTGGATTGTCTGGCCATGGGTAAAAGTCACATAAGAAATTAGAGCTGGATTCAGTTCTTAGTTTTACACCTGAGCCAAACTCCACTTCCTTCAGTGGAACTACCTTGAGCTGCCACCAACATCATGGAAATCAGAACCTGCCCCAAGTGACCAGATGCTAAAAAGAGATTTTCAATTTGCAACTCTAAGGAAAGTGAGTTGTGAGCACCTTTGAAAAACCGGCTACATCTGTCTGACAGTCAAACAGAAACAAATCTGCTGATCGTTTCTTACAGGAAAAAAAAGACAAAACAAAACCTCTGTGCTACTAGTTGTGTATAGGAGAACAGCTGGAAATTGCAGTACCATTGCAAGGAAATCTGTTAGTACACAACTGAAACCACATCATTTTCTCTAATAGCAGCAGAAATCCAGGCTACACAGCAATGAATACATGCACCAAACAGAAACGTTTCTATTATTATTTTACCACCTTTTTCTTCCCCAAATAAAGCTAGATGCAGTATAGTAAGCAGCAAGCCATATAAAAGGTGCAATATGTGCTTTATGGAAGAAACAGATACTAGAGATTGACGTAGTACTGCTGGAAGGTACACATAGCTTTCCTGAATTTTGATATTGCATATTGCTAAGTATAACGTAATTTATAGCGCATACCCTACAGCTTTCCCCAAGGTTGAATTTCCCCTCATTTCCTTTCCTTTTTATTGGCTTCAGTGCGCTGTTGCCCATAGCAACACCCACCGGCAGTGATGGGAATTCAGCATCACTGCAACCTGACATACAGTTGAAGCTCTAACAATGTCAACCATCAATCAAATCACTGCTTGTAATTGCCTCCATCTATTTCTCCTGTCTTTAGGTATCTTTCTTTTGGGGGGCCAAAATTCAGAAAGTGCTGAGTAATGTTATGGTTCTGTTCTTCCATCAAAGGAATAAAATGAGAGCGCTCAGTTAGATCTTTATCAAATTGTTCTTTGCCAAAATGAAGCAACCCTACTGAAATTAGTGGGTCATAGTAGTGTATCTCAGAACAGAATTTGTTCTGAGTGTGATCCATCTCAGTCTAGGGGGAAAAAGATCTTAGAACATACTAAAATTTTCTCAATGTTCAGCTTGGGGATCAGCAAGAGACCTGCATTTTTGAGAGAAAAGGTTCTTTGTGGAAGCACGCCGTGCAGTAAAGAAACATCTCTTTCAAGTTTCTCATATTTAAGATGGCGGGAAGCAATTTTTAACTAGTGTTTACAAGCTTGATATATAGAGACTGTATCTGCTTTTCATTATTTTCTTCTGATACTGAAACACTTCTCTAGTACTTCAGTCAGTTTTGTGAAATGTGCATATGAGAGGTTTCTGTATAAATTATTAAGTCTGAATTCTCCATCTTTTACTTATTTCCCTGACCACTGCACAGGCAGAGATCAAAATCCATTGATACCAGCTTATTTCTGCAATTGTGTATAAAACACAGGACCATAAGAAGGGAGGACAAACGAGAGGCCATGTGGAGAACAGGACAGAAAATCCACTGTTACCTAAGACAGCGCTAATAAAGCCCTGCTTGGCCTTTCTCTGAAGATGCCCAACATGCTGTTACATCCGAGGAATAGAAGCATCATTTATTTGCTTCTGCTGATAGTGGAAATTTTGCCTTGAATAAGGACTCTAATACTTACAATTCCGGTGCTAAGATGTGGTGAGCGCAGGGAACATCTGTAGGACCATAGGGGCTTACATCTTCCAGGCAGGTGCTTTGAGCTAGTTCAGCTGCAATGCCTTTTTTTCCTAGGTGCCCTACTGCACCTTTAATTCTAGCAGCCTGAATCCAGTCAGGTTTCCAGTACCATGCAGTACAGGCCAAGAGCTTTCGCAGAGGCCAGCCACCTGCCCTCACTTCATCAGCAGAAGAGGCTAGACCTTCATCCGAGCCCTCAAAGATAGTTCAGGCCACGGGGTAATTCCACTCAAGACACTCACCTTTGAGAGCCTTTACCTAAACAAACGTGTAAACGCATTGCCTAGGGTGATCAGGAGGGAGACTTGCGTCCGAATCCTTGAATGCTCAGTTTGGAGCAAGCTTTTGAACTATGGTTGCACCTTAGCCTGCGGCCTCTTGAGAGACACAAGGGTAGGCTTGTCCCAAGCCCTGCTGCTGGAGCCACTCCGCTTTAAGGAGCTGCATATGCATTGACAGTGGAGAGACCAAACTCCCCCTGGTTACAGAACCAACTTCCGTTTGGCCTACTTCACTTTGGTTATTTATACAAAGCAGAATGGCTCCAGCCGAAGGGCTGGAGAGGGGCTCACACGTGCCATTCTCACAGGCCTGTGGTTAAAGCTCTTTCCTGGGATGCAAGATTGTGACTTGCCAAGAAAACCAAACACTGGTTAAGGTCATAGGAGACGAGGTCAAGGCTCTCCTCTAAATTTAAAGACTGAAGAAGGGCTTCCCACCTCCACCCACGTGAGAACAAGACTTCCAAGAAGAGACTTTGGCCATAATTCTAGTAGTAAAATAAGACAGGGATTTGCCCTAAAAAGGCACAGTCGTTTCGCCTCTCTCCCAGGCTGGGATCTGGCAAATCAAAACTGCAGAACTTTGTCCAGACCCGGACGTGTGCGTACATCCAGGTACAGTTTCGTTCCTGCTCCAAAGCAGCTCTGGCATAGCCAGCTCCTACTACTTTGCAGGACCGGGGTCTTGCTGAGAAGGCTGCTAGTGTGTTTTGTGCCCTCAAGAAAATAACCAGAGAGTAGATGAGTAGGTTTCATTTTAGCGCAGGTATTCATCAAAAGGTGTCCTTGGTACGGTAGCTGCATTTTCTGCACTGGTGACCTTGCTAATTGCTCCTTCTTTTAGTGTGCTGCAATTTCATAACATGCCTACAGTTATCAGCAAAGCCAATAATAGTGCTCACAAACTGTTTCTGAAAACTGCAACCAGCAGTGCCTACCATAATTTGTAAGATTTAGACTAACTAATCCCAATGAAAAATAGGACAGTGTTTCAGTCTACAGGCTGAATATTTAATTTCCCTTCATAAAACGAATACAATTTTATAGTTAGATATTTTGTATATTGAGTGAGATTTTAGAACAGAATTATTTGGAGGTTATGCAAAACATAACAGACGCTTCCACTGCTTAGAATATTCTGGGCAAGAAACCGTAGAGCAACAAAATGATATTGGTTTTATCAAAGAAACTGAAGATTTTAAGAATGAAATTATATGAATGGTTTGGAACAAAACAATGAAATGTAAGTTATCAGTCAGCTGAAATAAGAGACTCCAGAGGTTTTAATGCCTTGAATGTGACGGTAGCAGAATACATACCGTATATCGCTTATTACCTTTTCTTTCTTGG